AAAAAAGTTTAAAAGTATAAAACGTTAAAGTAAAATCACATTTGCTATTCACTGGATATATGATGCAAGCAAACACCAACGTCAGCCGTAAGCTGATTTTACTTAGTGATTTGGTTACCAGAGCCACTGATAAGGCTGCAAACATGCTTGATGAGATAGTAAATACATGTGAATGAGAAAAAGCACAGGGCAGATCGCCTGTAGTCTAAAGTGATAAATCTCTTTCTCACACACTTAGGCAACACGTAGTCAAGAGAGTGATAAACACTTTGATGACACCGTTTTACAAGTATTTTTTGAAAATATAAAATTATTTATTGAAGAAAAAACTGTGTACAGAGCAGATGACATCGCAGATGCCACTGGAGAAATAAATATTAAGTGTGTACAAAAGAAGAAGAAGAAGCAGTGGTGGTAATTGTTGTCAAAATGCATCAAAGTGAAAAGTTCGTCGAAGTATTGCTGTAAAGAGGAGAGAGATATGCTTGCGTGGGTTGCAGCAAAGGTAAAGTCGGTCCAAATGATATGCCGTCATTTTGGTGTATCAGTGGGGTCAGAAGGAGGGGGAGAGAAGGGGTGGGACTGCATACTATAGATGCAACTAAAACATAAAAAGCGCTACACATTTGTACAAAAAAAGAGAGAAATTGTTTACAAAGATGGCCCTAGCCAGTGACATGAAACAGTCATTGTACAGATCTTAAAAGAAGAAAGAATGGGGTAAAACAAAAGAAAGCAGGAAAGAATCACACTGGGGGTAACAAACAAAAGAAAAACAACAAAATAAAAATATCACAATTGAGTNAAGAAAGCAGGAAAGAATCACACTGGGGGTAACAAACAAAAGAAAAACAACAAAATAAAAATATCACAATTGAGTCTGAGAAAAAGTGGGAGTGGGGGCAAAAAGATTTTGTTTGAAGTAGTAGGCTAGATTTTGCGAAAGTTCGAGCACTTCTTCTTGAGAAAGTAGGCAATTTCGTGAAACTCCGGCCGGGAGTGTTCGCTGTGCTGCGTACACTCCAAAATGAGATCGTATATCTCCGATGGGCACTCCTTGGGCTGTGGCAGCTGGGGAGACTTTAGCGTCGCGTACTCGTGCGAGTTGTCGGAGAAGGGGTGGTTGTAGAAGGTCGACATGTTGATGAGCGAGTTGGCCTGGAAGGGTGGAAGTATTAAAAAAGGTGGTTAGAAACTTTATCTGGAAGACAGCAACTTCAGTGAACACTCACCGAAACGTCCATCTCTGCCTTATTTTCGCTGATAATCTCTGCGAGGAGTTCACTCTCGGAGAGCTGCTCGTGCGGCAGCATCTTACAGTAGTTCATGATCTCCCAGAGGGTGACGCCAAAGCTGAAGACGTCGCTTTTGGAGGTGAACTTTCCCTGAAGGATGCTCTCGTGGCTCATCCAGCGGACGGGCAGCACCTCATTGTAGTACTCCTTCTTGTACTCGCCAATAAAGGCGCCATTGTCGCAAATCTTCACCTTCAAATTGGAGGTGTAGATGAGGCAATTCCGCGCTGCTATATCTCGGTGAATGAACCCTTGAGAGTGCAGATCCTGCATTGCCTCTGCTACCTGACTGGCAATTTCAATTAAGTTTGTGAACCTGTGTTTAGAACAAAAATTGAATTAGAAACACATGTAACAAATAAACCAAGTGAGTACTCACCGAATCTGCATCGGCAGCGCCGATCGGAGAAACTTCTTCAGGTCAACGTCACCGTACTCGATGACCATCGCCAAGTACTCGTGTTTGACCACATAGCCGTGCATCATTGCAAAGGTGTCAATGCACCGATTAGACAGTCGCCACTTTTCCTCCATTTCAGTGATAAACTCATCGTAAAACTCCCGCTTTTCAGAGAGCGTCTTGAGGATGACCAAGCGTTTTTCAGTGCCACGTTGCAGGTAGCCCAGCTCACAATCGCCAAACTTTGAGTAGCCAAACTCGCCGTCAATCGTCTTAATATCCGCCTCTTTTATCGACGGCACCGGCGGGATCANCATCATTGCAAAGGTGTCAATGCACCGATTAGACAGTCGCCACTTTTCCTCCATTTCAGTGATAAACTCATCGTAAAACTCCCGCTTTTCAGAGAGCGTCTTGAGGATGACCAAGCGTTTTTCAGTGCCACGTTGCAGGTAGCCCAGCTCACAATCGCCAAACTTTGAGTAGCCAAACTCGCCGTCAATCGTCTTAATATCCGCCTCTTTTATCGACGGCACCGGCGGGATCATTGCCTCCGGGGAGGGTGACTTTGTGCTGGACGAGTGAATTTGCGTGTTCTCGTAGCCGTCAAAGTCAGAGGAATTCTGAATTGAGTTGTTGGTCGAATTGTTCTTCTGCTTGCTGTTGACTCCTTTCAGCAGTCGAGAAGAGTTTGATGAAAGTGAAGATGGGGGTGAGGAGTNATTGCCTCCGGGGAGGGTGACTTTGTGCTGGACGAGTGAATTTGCGTGTTTTCGTAGCCGTCAAAGTCAGAGGAGTTCTGAATGGAGTTGTTGGTCGAGTTGTTCTTCTGTTTACCGTTGACTCCTTTCAGCAGTCGAGAAGAGTTTGAGGAAAGTGAAGACGGTGGTGAGGAGTTCTGCTGCTGCTGTTGTTGCAGTGCAAGAGGCGGTGGCGGTGTGTGTGAGGCGATTGAGCCAGAACCGGTCAGTGGCTTTGGACTGTGTCCACTGCCGCTGAAGCCGTTGATCGACGCTGGTGCTGCGTCAACAACGGGCGGCACCTCGAATGAGAGCAAGTTTGAGCGAGCAATGACGTCCGTGGAGGCGTAGTAGCGAGATTCGTCTTCTAGGTCGAGATGCGGGTACTTTCGCTTCATCTGCTCTTTGTTCATTGGGTACTCTCGCCCACTGCCGCTGCCACCTCCACTGCTACCACCGCTGCTGTAGGAGTGCAACTGCTGCTGCTGATGGATCTTTCCATTTCCAAGCAGTGACCCATTGGTGTTGTAGGCGACAATGTCCGGAACGGCGTACTCCGGATCC